ATATGTAATATACAGGCATCTGAGATTTTATTCTTACTGTATATATGAATTCTGAAAACTTTGCGGAACCTACCATAAACCTGAAAAATGTCTAGCATTGGTTAATTACGCATGTCAAGTGAAACTGACAGGTCTTATTGGTGAAGCTGATGAACTATCATGACCACATAATGTGTATTTTACTGCATTTATTTGGCTTTTATCACTGTGGTGAAGATGAACATCTTCCTCAGTGGTTTTCCATCTCAAATGTCAAGGGTAGAGGTCCTATCTTTTTATTAGCCTTATTTAGCAACATGGATAATAGATTCCAAGTATGTTCTGGAACAATAAACTCTGAATACAAACTGCTCAGACTATCTGGGATATGTTTATACATTTACCTAAGCCCTAAAGTCCTAGAGCAGAGAAGGGTCAATCTACAAAGGAGACCATCAAATGCACCAGATGCTTCACTGTTGGGTGTTATGCAGAAACCAACCTACTGAATTTGAAAGATGGTGGACTGGCTTTACCTTTCAGGGATAAACTGGTTGCTTGTTCTGTGACTAAATTCCTAATGCAACATTTCCCCAAAGTGTCGAACTCCTCTTTGGACTGATTTTGGACTTTTACTAATTCCAACAGCCAAATTTACAATTTAGTACAGGGGATAGGCTGGACAGTACTTTAATAACACTTTCCTTAACTCCATTGAGTTAGAGTTGAACTTAGGATAAAGTCACCGACACAGGAGAGCAGCTCTGGTGGTTTTGTTACACAGGCTCTGGCTCTGCAACAAGTAAGTCAACTAAGAAAAAAGTAAAGGCACTTATTTCATTCTTCTTGGGGAGGGAGAGAAACATTGTTACTCTTAATAGGGTGGTAAATGTGGACACCAGGATCACACTTATTTATGGACACTAAGCTACACTGAGACAGAAGTGCTAGAACTTTACGATGGATCACTGTAGAACAGAATTTGGGAGTAACCTGTCCTGTTCTCATTCCGTTCAAATTCCCTTCAGTTTAAAAACTAGTTAAAATGCTCTATGTTCAGCTGATTTTTTTAAAAACTAATTTGTCTTCCAACAGGATAGATGCAGAGACAGGCATTTAAAAAATATACTGAATATTTTGTAAGTCAATGTCTAAAACATGGCATCAGTACTACCAGAATGTTGTTTTTCATTTTAGTTCTGACTGGTGTGGCTCAGTGGATTGAGGGCCAGCCTGCAAATGGAAAGGTTGCCAGTTAGATTCCCAGTCAGGGCATGTGCCTAGGTTGTTGGCCCAAATCCTGACTGGGGGCATACAAGAAGCAACTGATTGATGTGTCTCTGGCACATCGATGTTTCTCTCCCTCTTTCTTTCTCCCTTTCCCTCCCTCTAAATATAAACAAAATAGAAAAAATATTTTATTGTTCTGTTATAGTTGTCCCAATTTCCCCCTCTGCCCTTCTCCTTCCAGTCCACCCCCCACTCCCAGTCAGTCCCCACACTGTTGTCCAGGTCCATGAGTCATTCATACATGTTCTTTGACCAGTCCCTTCCCCTTCTTCCCACCATTCCCCCACCCCCACTCCCCTCTGGTCACTGTCAGTCTGTTCCACGTTTCCATGCCTCTGGTTTTATTTTGCTCATTAGTTTGTTTGTGTTCATTAGGTTCTTCTCATAGGTGAGATGTGGTATTTGACTTCCATCAACTGGCTTAGAGCAAAATTCCAAACCCTTACATTCTTATTTTTCTTTTGGAATACACTTTGATATACCTTAAATCAATTTCCGGTCTGTTACATAATTAAAAATGTTTCAATCTTGATGGGTATTAAACATTTTATTTAAAGATTTTAAAGTAAAAAAAAGGAACACAAATATAAGACTACATTATGATGACCACGGCAGTGTTCTACATGACAAAAGTCAAAACAAAAGTTTAAAAAGTGAATGTATAAAGCAAAGTACCTGACAGCCAATACAGGCTGCATACACATAAAATGATCAGACCACATGCTTATACAAAATAAATTTTTTTCTCAGAACACCAAAATTCCAACCATTCTATCAACTCCTTTTTCCCCTGGTGAGTATTTTCAGAGAACTTCTATGTAACATAAAAAGAATGGTCATGGCACTTAAACAGAAGACAATTAAAACATATTTGTAATGCAATTCTGTATAAAATATACACAGTAAATCTTACTAGTTTTTTAAAAAAGATTTAAAAACAAAAGACCGCCCTGAACAATAGTTAAAACCTCATCACAGAAAATTGTTCATCATTTGCAACATTACTGATAGAAAACTGATGGACTTTTTTTGAGAAGATAACCAACTTGAAAAAGTCATTCATTCAAAATGTATTTAAAATAGTAGATAAAATAGTAACTCACTGCCTACCCCTTCTCAAAGTGTTTAAATCATGAATGCTCTTTCTAGTATTTAACTACAGGACAAAATAAAAGAGTACCTCAAAGTTTTCTCAAAACGTGGTTCAAAGACCCAATGAAAACCTAGGTGTGGCCCTGTAATGTGCTTTTACGTAAACTTATTCCACACTCTAAAATTTTAGAACTAATGCCCTAGGGGAAACAGTACCACTTAAAAGCAAGATCATAACATACTTCTGACATAAGATGTCGGAGTTTTCCCTAAGTTTATGATTTGAGTGACTGCTGCTTTTTGTTTTAAAATGAGTTTTAGGTATTAAGAGAAACATACATACTTCTTCAATAAACATGTGGATGTATATAAACATTTTTCCTTTGAGGTTTTCATTGCTTTCAGACTTAATTATTTAAAGAAAAGAGTACATGGTCAGAAACTTTGGAAAAATTACATTTCTAATGAAATGCAGCATCCAAAAAGAGAAGATATTTTATTAAATGCCTATTGATTTTAAATCTTTCTAAGTTGAAGACTCAATAGCTTTCCCCCAAATTAAATTTTTATAAGAGTGGGCAATTATAAGTAATTTAGATGATTATGGTTACTTTTTAAACCCCCTTTCATAAAAAATGTTTAAAATAAACAACAGAAAGATGCTATCTCTGGCATCCCTTTAAATAATATATTGCTAAACACTAATATTAGTAAAACATAATCTGAAGAACGCTGCCCCTGAAATGTGTTCTACTCTGCATTACATGTGTTACCTACTTGACACAAACTCACTCACAAGAGCTGGGAAGGGATGTGTGAGTGGGCGCGTGTGTTGACACTCAGTCATTATTTTCGCGGATTTCACTGAAGCCTGCCTCCATAAACAGGGTCCAAAAGTGTGGACAGTGTGTTTTGGGTAAGAAATAAGCATGTTCAATACATTATCTGGAAGATAAATTCATGTAAACTAAATTATAAGGAAAAACAGTATATATGTATACATTCCGTCTCGACTGGGTAAATGGAATGTTTTTACAAGTTCAGTAATAAGTAAGTGCCTCCTTATTTAATCCAATCACAAAAAGCAACTGTGAGATTTACTCTCCTATATGAAATAAATATTACCATTGCACTTTTTTGTATCTACTTTAAATTTCTTTTTTTCCCTGTCTATATACTGAGACATTTTCCATTCAACTGCATCCTGTATCCTTTAACCTACATTTGTTAAAATCCAGGTAAAATTCTGGTTAAAGGGACAAGCTAACCCCTTAATATATTAAAGAAATTATCTGTAACAGTTTTGCAAAAATAGCTAATGATTTGGAGTCTGATTCTTAATGAAGTGTACCTATCTTTTTTCCTCAAGAAGCATCTGTATTCCCCATGTCTAAGCAAGCAATACCTTCTATTATCAATCAATTTAATAATTGTTGCCTTAAAAATGAGTAATTACCCAAGGCAATATAAAATTTACAGTTGAATTTTTAAACAAAAAGAATTAAAAAACTAATAGGTAATATAACAAGTTACTATATTTCTGACTTATTCTTTGACTCCAAAATTAAATACTTAATGACTTAAGGAAGAATGACAAAAATCATGGGAGGCTTATGATGTAGTAATGCCTGTTGCATGTGCCTTAATGCAACAGATACTCTTTAAAAGCAGTGGTAAGCAGTTCCTTCAAACGAAAAAGACAGCTTTGTTAGTCATCAGTGTCCTGGCTGGATTACCAGTACTCTGACATGATTGTCTGGAAACTAGCCTCAATTTCTTTTCATGGTTAAACTTAGATGTAATAACTGACTCTTATGGTCAACAATACAAGGTGTTGAGTGCTTTTTTTGGAGGTGGCAAATATCAAATGGTTCACTGTATCCAAGCCGGTCATGAGTTTTCCATGCACTGAATGGCAATTGACAAGCGACACGCACAGCTGAGAAGGGAGGATCAGACGCACTCTTCCGCAGACATCAGAAGAGGATTGATGTACTCAAAACCCTCAAATTCGGACTGATCGATCTTCCTCACAATGTCACTGTTGGAACAAAAATAAATACATTTTCACTATCAAGATTTCTTCAACTTTTTATTTAAATGGTAAAATAAGATTAAGAAACAAAAATTAAGGTTAATTCATATAAGTTATGGAAAAAAACTTTAACAGTTCTAGTTAATCTTAACTTTTGATCTGAACCGCATTCATAATTACAGGTAAACATCCTGGTCTGATTTAGTGTTCAATTTAGTATTCGCCTCGATGGCCTGGTGGAATGCATGGTGAAGAGAAGGCCCAGAAGAAGTCAACTAAAAGGATGAGGGAACAGGAACAAGGACACCGAGAGACCTGCAGTAAGGGGAGAACACCCAGACAGGAGTGGGTCACAGGGAGGGCAGACGTTGACATTGTTACACCAGGCTTCCAGTTAACGTACAAGATTGAGCAGTATTATAGAATATTTTCGTATTTCAAGGCACACATTGTACTGCAAAGCAAGAAGTTACACAGGATGTGGTCCTGTCCTTCAGGGAGGGGAGGCCCCTTACATCACAGAAAGCCACAAGAGACAGCGGCATCTGCTCAGTCCCTGGACGAGCTAAGCCCTGTCGTACACGCAGCTGTAAAGAAAACGGTGGCGCCGCTCAGACGGCTCGCACGCTGAACCTGGAAGGGTGCAGAGGAGATCGCCAGGGCCCCTGTGCAAGGATGACACACAAATCTGTGTGGTGGTCCACATTTTTTGATTGGTGCAGATTGGTAGTTTCAGAACAGTCACGGGGATGTGGAGTACAGCATGGGAAACACAGCCAGAAATACTGTGGTGACTTTGTATGGCGCTGGTTGGGTACTGGGAATGTCCTGGTGGAGTGTGTGACTGTCTAGCCACAGTGCTCTACACCTGAAGCTGATATGAAATGATTCTGAATATAAACTATAATTTAAACAAATTTTTAAAAAGATTCAAGGAAGCAAAACAAAAGGAGACTTCTAGTTGGAGAAAAAAAAAAGGTAGCATTCACTTCATAAGCACATACCGAATGAAATTATGAAATATTATGCTAGCTCTGGGGAAACACAAATAACTTATTAGAGCTGGAGCCCAGGAACAGAGGATATTACAGTGGCAGATAATCCTAGCAGGAAGTAATGACTAGCTCAAAAACCCAGTAATGTTTACTCGTGGGTTTAACCTTGATCCATCAAAGATTGGGTTGCATTTGAGACAGCTCTGAAAGGTGGGAAAGATTTCAGTACGTAAAAATTGAGGAGGAACACAGAGTTAACGGCACAAGCAAAGGTTGACAGCACGCTACCAGGGAGTGGTGAGTGACCGGGACTGATCAGGGCACAGCGCAGTGAGAAATGCGGATAGAAAGTCAGGCTGCAGCAGATGGCAGAAGGCCTTCAGTGCCAGCCAAGACAACAGATTTTATTTGCTAGCCAATGCAGGAGTTGCTAATGGTTTGTGATGTAAGGATTTAAAGAACTGGAGTGGTACTTCATGAGGTGTTCAGAGTGGGTTGCACAGCAAAGGAGTCCAATGAGGAGGATGGCATAATATTCTGGGTATGATCTGGAAGAGGTTTGAACTGGGCTTATGGCAATGAAAATGGAAAAAAAAGGATCTGCTATAAACGATGAAGTACAGGAAAAACAGACATGGACTTGGCAGCTGAAGGGATTATACAGTTTTTTTCAGGAAAAGGAGGGATCAAAATCACTGATGTTCTGAATCTGAATGCAGGACTGCATGGTGGTGCATTGAGCAGAAAATGGAAAATAAAAACAAGAAACTCATTGAGAACAACAGAAAGAGACCATAAAGGGCCATTAAATCAATTTCAGACTTCATATGTTTGAGGTGCTTGTCTGATAAGCTAGAGAAGATACTAGACAAGTGAGTGGAAATGCAGCTCAGGGCAGGGGCTAGGTGCTTTAGACCATCACTCATTTATTCTTATTTAAAACTTTTGTTTATTGATTTTAAGGAGAGAAAGGCGGCAGGGAGTAAGGGGAAAGAAAAAGGAGAAGAGAGACATCAATTTGCTGTTCTATTTATTTATGCATTGATTAGTTGATTCTTGTACGTGCCCTGACTGGGGATCAAACTCGCAACCTTGGCGTGTCGGGACAACACTAACCAACTGAGCTACCTGGCCAAGGCTCATTTATTTTTCACGGTAACCCGGTAAGGGAGGCAATATGAGAAGAAACAGGCTCAGAGAAGTTATGTAATTCACACCCAGATTACCCAGCCTGTAAGAGGTGGCATCTGAATTTAAATTCCTGTCTTTTAATTAAACCCAGTATTCTTTCTTAAACATGATGCTGTCTGAAATAATGATTTTGGTACATATTTCTCTCCTCTAGTGGACAGCTTTTTGCAAGATTGGCCTGTGTCTCGATCATCTTTGAATGTCTAGCACTTAGCATAGTGCCTTTTGCTCAGTAATTGTTAGCCAGATTAGCTAGAAGTCATTTTTTATAGCTGGTGTCCATGCTACCGGGCTGGCTGAAATCTCCAAGGTACAAACTGCATATAGCAAAGAGAAGGTTGTCACGAACAGAACCGTGGAGCATCCTACCCTCAAGGGGACAGGGGAAAAAAGATGACACGTGGTCACAAAGATGCAGTAGAACCAGTGTGGGCAGTGCCAACCAAAGCAAGGTCATGAGTGCCTAATGTTTTATAGACATCAGGGGAGATGTCTATAAATGCCTTACAATTTAAAAATTAAGAAGGTAATTCAACCTTCAGGCGCAGGCTAAGTTGTAAGAGTTTGTTAAAGTGTTGGCAGTAAGGAAGTGAAACACAATCAATGTTGACTACTTTGAAGGCATTTGATAAAGACACTGCTTATTTTTCTATTATCATGTGTGTCTATGAGCTGTCTTTGAAAAAGCCTGCAGATGAAAAGAAAATGAGAAAAACAATGTAGTGGTTCAGAGAAGAGCTAAGATTCAGGAGAAAAAAATTAGGCTACCTGAGTATGTTTATAACCAGAAGGCAAGAAGCTGAAAAAAATTAAAGATTGAGCAATGGAGGCAAATGACAAAACAAAATCCTGGAGAAAAATAAGAAAACAGGTCCAGGAAAATAGGAAAGCACCACTTGCAAAAGAGGGAAGGCTTTCAAGAATATGAAAGAAAGGGCTGAGAAGAGTGAAAGAGCAACGCTGTGATGCACAGTGGCCTGATGACAGGTGAACGGGGAGGCCTCAATCTTCACAGTGGCCTGATGTCAAGCTCGCCCAGGGAGGTCTCAATCCGTGTCATCAAGTTTGGGCAAGGTGAAACCGTTACGAGTTATGGAGGTAGGGGCAGGACTGAAGGCTTCTAAAATGCAGTGACAATTTAGGACAGCTGCTATGAAGCATGGGATAAAAATTGACAGATGTAAATGACCACCAAGCTGTAAGGACCTCCTTGAGAAGAAAGAATGACCCTGTAATGACGGCAAATGATCAAAACATCCCCAAATTATTCTAAACCACATTTTTAAAAGATTTAAAATAAACACAAAAAATATGTCAGATCACTGCTGGCTGGACTTGATAAGCCGATGTGCTGATGTAACCTTTTAAAAAAGCAATCTGGCAATATACATCATGACCTTTAAAATTTGATGCCCTGTGACCTAATTCCCTTTCTAGGATTCTGTCTTAAGGGAATACTCGGGAACTCACAGACCACCATGGCCAAAACAGAAAATAGTGCTGCACAGTGGGGAGAGGAAAGGCCTCTGTCACTCGGATTTGGGTCTGAGTCCTGCCTCTGCCACCTGGTTGCTGCGTAACTACTTGACCTCCACGAGCCTCGGTTTCCTCATCTGCAAAATGATTATGATGATAACTAGGTTTACAAGGTTGTTCTGAGAATTAAAGATAATGCATGTAAATCAAAGTAGAAAGTGGCAATTATTGTCATAATTTAAAGTGATATAATAGATTCAAATATCCAGTGACAAAGAGGTTAGATCAATTATGGTATAACCTATCATAAAACATTATATAGCCACTAAAAATGTGACTTTGAAAGGATTTTATAAATATTTTAGTCTATAGAATTACTTACTCATCATCTGGAGTGAGCTGGACAGGTTCATTAGTAAACTGAGAATCAAAGTTGTCCAAACCAAATTCCCCAGAAATATTTGGTTTAAAGGGAGGTACCACTTGCTTTTGCTCCATCTAGAAAAACAGAGTGAATGACAGCTCAAGCTTGCCTTCGAGAAATTCCACCCCCACGTTTCTCTTCTGTCCGCAGATGTTTCCTAGCCTTATTACGGTGAGTCCCTATGCAAGCTTTACGATATTCACAGTAATGGAAATACTTTACAAACCTAAACACTGATGCAGATCTCAATTAATACGATAACCCTCTCCATTAAATTAATAGTCTAAGTTTTTACTGTTTTAAAAGTTTTCAAAAAGCACGTCAGAGAGTGGTTTTAAGCAATTTAGGCTATGATACACTAGTTTTCCAAACTTCTCACATAATAAAATTTGGCCCAATATAATGAAACTTAATACAGAAAACAATCACAATTTACGTACCATATCCCAATCAACATTTCGGAAGAATGGGTGTCCCTGAATATCGGCAAATCCTGTTTGAGGATGACAACCCAAGCGTTCTTTTGGGTCCTACGGTGGAAAGAAATATTTCAAAATTGGGTGACTATCATGCTTTAGAATACATCACCTTCACGACCTGTGTTTTGTGTCTACTATATAATTCCTATCTGTCTGAAATCAGAATGGTCCACCTTTCATTTCTAGGAGGTACAACACTAGACTCAAATGGGTATCTGAAGCCAGTGACAAGATTTCCCCCTGGCTCTTTCTCCAGCTAGCTTGTAATTAAAGTGGAGCAGGGCCACCGTTCCTTGCTTAAAAAAAAAAAAAAAAAAAAAAAAAAAAAAAAGAAAGGGTGGGGGGAGCAGCAGAATTGTTTGAGCAGCATGCAGCTATTTCTTTGACATAGGTTACAGTAATAGTCAAACTCTGCAAACCACCAAACTTCACACGTTTGTTCTTAGCTCAGTTTAGGAGCCCCACGCCCAATTACAGCAACAATCTATACTTAGTGTACAATAACGACACAACCATTATCTGAATCACTGGACTGAAAAGATGCCTCAACTTGGCTTATTCATTACTGTAAAATGAGAACATGTTTCTATTCTCCCCCCCAATAAATAAAAGGCATTTTATGTTGCATGTTAACACCTCTCACGTTCATTTTTCATTGTGTTAAAGCTTAGGTTTCCCATTTAAATCTTCCTCATTAAGATTTAAAACAAGTGTTAATTTCTTATTTTACTAAAATTCATCATTATCTTTTCAAAAGATTTTATTTACTTATTTTCAGAGAGAGGGGAAGGGAGGGAGGAAGAGAAACATCAATGTGTGGTTGCCTCTCTCGCACACCCCCTTCTGGGGACCTGACCTGCAACCCAGCTATGTGCCCTGACTATGAATCGAACCAATGACCCTTTTGTTCACAGGCTGGTACTCAACCCACTGAGCCACACCAGCCAGGGCAAATTCATCATTATATTATCTATTTATTTTAGATGGTAAATGCACATTCACCTACATTCTAATCTAGCATTTATTTACAATAAGCTTTGACTGCCAAGATCATTGTGATACAGTAAGAAATGGTCTTTGGTCTTGGTCTTTGTCTTAGGTTCCTGACCCAAAGCTTCTAAAACTCTTGTAATTTCCCAAGAGAC